GGGAAGAGCCCAAAGCGGGCGCTGGGACCACGCCGGACTGAAGAGGGTCAGGAGGGCATAGGCCCCCGTGAGGTGGCCCAGGAAGCGCCCCTGAGAGCTGGGGCCGAGAAGCCACGGGAGGGCTCTGCCGCCCGCGAGTCCATCGGGGCAGGGCTGGGGAGCGGAGTGGGGTCTCTGGTCGCGGCCCGGGCCTCCGCCCAGCGCCCACCCCTGCCCAGAGCCAGTGCGGACTCGCGCTTCCCGGTCGGATCCCGGCCCCAGGGTGGCTGTGGGACCTTGGGGGAAGTTTCCTAATCTTGAATGCCTCAGTGTCCTCATGCGCCTGGTGCCCATTTCCAGGGAATGACATGAATTACTGATCCCTAAAGTGGTGCCTAGGAAGGCCCGTGCAAGTATCATTCAGATGTTGTTTTTAGGGAACTGAGGCTCAGGGACGTTAAAGAAGTGACTTGCCTGCAGTCCCACATCATTGAGAATCGGGAGCTGGGGCAGGTGTGGCGTGGGAGGAAGGAAAAGCCCTGTGTGACCTGGCAAGACAGTGAAAGAACCACCAGCGCTCGCTCTGGCCCCGCATGGACACCTGGGAGCGCTGCTGGCCCCTGAGCTATCTGCAGTGTGTGATAACTGAGTAAACGTTTATGGAGTACTTGTACATGCCAGGCTCCTTTCTAGGTGCTGGGGACGTAGAAAGTAGGAGAGAGGGCGAAGCTTGCGTGTTGGAGGGGAGGAGACACAGGAGGAAAGTCAGATGCTGTAGGTGCTGTTAGGGGTGTGAGGAGACGGCAGCAGGGGTGAGTGGAGCGGGGGAGGGCGTGGACGGGATGTTGTACTGAGGGGTGGTGTGGAACGACTGAGTTGGATTTGAACCCTGACCTGAGGGAGGGAAGAGGCCCTGAGCCCACGTTGGCAGGGTTGGCAGGCTGACAATCAGACTGTGGTCCGGAGGGTGTTGGAGGTTTTATTCTAAATCATGGGGAGTCGTCAGAGGCTTTCTAGCAGGAAAGGAGTATGTCCTGATGTGTTTTTGTTGTTGTTGTTTTTTGTTTTTTTGAGTCAGAGTCTCACGCTGTCACCCAGGCTGGAGACATGCTCACAGCCACCACAGCCTCAACCTAGCTGGGACCACAGGCACACGACACCGCGCCTGGCTAAATTTTTAAAATTTATTGTGGAGATAAGGTCTCGCCAAGTTGCCCCGGCTGGTCTGGAACTCGTGGGCTCAGGCAGTCCTCTCACCTCGGCCTCCCAAAGTGTTGAGATTATAGCGTGAGCCACCACGCTCTGCCTGATGTGTGATTTTATTTTTATATTTTTGAGTTGGGAATCTCACTCTGTCTCCCAGGCTGGAGTGCAGTGGCAGGATCACATCTTCCCCAGCTTCCCCAGTCAGTGGTACTACAGGCATGTGCTGCCATGCCTGGCTCATTTTTAAATTTTTATTTCTTTTAGAGACAGGGTCTCCCTGTGTTGCCCAGGCTGGTCTCAAATTCCTGGGCTCAAGCAGTCCTCACACCTCAGCCTCCCAAAGTGCTGGGATTACAGGTGTGAGCCACCATACCTGGCTCTGATTTGTTTTAAAATATGGCTTTCAGAGTTTTGAGTTATGGAGCTTTTTTTTTTTTTTTTTGAGTTGGAGTCTCACTCTGTCGCCCAGACCGGAGTGCAGTGGCCGCTCCCGGCCACCGCAGCCTCGACCTGCTGGGCTCTGGTGATCCTTCCGCCTCAGCCTTCCAAGTAGCCGGAATTACAGGCGCGTGCTACCACGCCCAGCCAATTTTTTGATTTATTGTAGAGATGAGGTCTCGCTGCCCAGGCGGGTCTCGAACCCGCGGGCTCAGGCAATCCACTCACCTCAGCCTCCCAAAGGCGCGGGATTACAGGCTGAGCCACCGAGCCCGGCTTTTTTTTTTTTTTTAGTTGGCGTCTCACTGTGACGCCCAGGCTTGAGTGCAGTTGCACACTCATGACCACCACAGCCTTGACCTGCTGGGTTCAGGTGATCCTTCTGCTTCAGCCTTCCAGGTAGCTGGAACTATAGGTGTGTGCCACCACACCTGGCCAAGTTTTTGATTTATTGTAGAGATGAGGTCTCACTGTGTTGCCCAGGCTAGTCTCCAACTCCTGAACTCAAGCAATCCTTCCACCTCAGCCTCCCAAAGTGCTGGGATTATAGACATGAGCCACTGAACCTGGCTATAGTGTTTTATTTCCTTATTATTATTATTTTTATATTGAGCTCATTTTTCCTGAAACTTTTTTGAGATACTGCTTCTTTTAGCCACTTGTGGGCGCCACCAATCCAAGATCACTTTATATTCTCAGCTCGGGGTTTTTGGACCACACAGGTCCAACCCATGTCGTATGAATTTGGGTGTAAACCTCCCTGAGGACTGGCTTCTGATAACAAATTTCTGTTCTCTTCTCCATGGCAAGTTTACAAGGGAGAATCCCCCAAAACCCTGGAATATATTTATAAAAAATTGTGTATTTGTTTTTACTTCAGTCATCTTCACAGTGTTCTCTGTTTGATGCAATACTCCTATCAAGACGCTTTTTCTACTCAAAACAGTTTTTGAACTCATCAGTTTTGATGCCTGTTAGTGCTTCTGCTGCCTTTTTGTTGCACCTCTTCCACATTGACAACATATTTCCCTTTGAGGACTTTTTTTCATCTGGGGAAAGAAAAAGTCGCTTGGGTGAACAGTAAGAATGAGGCATGGGGGTCATGAACAGTCAGCATAGTGTGGGCAGGGTCATTGTCGTGACGGAGGAACCAGTCACCTGTTTGCCACAAACTCAGGATGTTTCCTCTGCAAATCATGATGCAACCTTCTCAGAACTTCCAGATAAAAACTTTGGTTGACCGTTTGATCTGGAGGAACAAATTCTGAGTGTACTACAAGGGGCCTGTCTTCCAAAAGATAATTCTGGTTTTTTGGGGTGCCTCTTGTATTTATCATTCACCCTTTCACCATGGGGCTGTAGCTCTATTCTTAGACCTCATAACTAACTAGACATCTTGAGGGGGCCCAGGCTGCTTCTCCTGTTCCCCATACCTCACGTAGCTGTCCCAGTCGAGGTTCACAGACTCCAAGTGAATGTCAACTTCAGCACTTGCTTGGTTTTCAAGCCTTGTTTTTACTTGGATTTTGCCCTTGATAGATTTCTTCCTGTGGTGCTGGTCAGTGACGTTTGCAAAAAAATTTAAAATCTCATCATAGTTGTTACAGTTCGGAGGGTTCTTTAAGGTGTGTCATTTTCCACAGTGCTATTAACAGCCTGGTTTGGAGCACAGTTAGGTACTTGTTGAAATCCTTGCATTCTGGTTTTTTTTTTGTTTTGTTTTGTTTTTTGAGTTGAAGTCTCACTCTGTTACCCAGACTGGAGTGCAGTGGCAGCTTCCGGCCACCGCAGCCTCGACCTGCTGGGCTCCGGTGATCCTTCCGCCTCAGCCTTCCAAGTAGCCGGAATTGCAGACGTGTGCTACCACGCCCGGCTCATTTTGATTTATTGTAGAGATGAGGTCTCGCCTGCCCAGGCAGGTCTCGAACCCGCGGTCTCAGGCAATCCACTCACCTTAGCCTCCCAAAGGCGTGGGATTACAGGCTGAGCCACCGAGCCCGGCAATCCTTGCATTCTGTCATCACGGCAATTGTTATGTCATCTGTTCCTTTTACATAATTGCAGTCTTTCAAATCTTTGTTCAGAAAGATGTCCATCTTGCAGTCAGTGACCCACCTACTTCAGGCCATAGTTAAAACATGTCACTCTAACAATAATGAAATGTGGAGGGTTGATGAGATGGTTTTGAACCATACATTTTTCAGATCTTATTTTCATGAGTTTTACTGATGGGCGGTTGTACTTAGATTATATTTATTTTTCATTTTTTTGAGTTGGAGTCTCACTCTGACTCCCAGTCTGAAGGCACGGGATTACAGGCTGAGCCACCGAGCCCGGCTGATGGAAACTTTTAAATGTGATATGTAGTTATCTGCAAAAGATAAAAATAGCCTCTTGTCATTCATAACTACTTTAAATAGAGGCTTCCAAATAAAAGTGCTAATATATTGGATAAATATTTACACAGAAATGGAGTTTTATCATTTTACTGTTGTAACATTAGTTTTAGCTTGCTGATTGTAATTCTAATTTAGAATTATATCTTTGAGTCATAAATAAGAACATTATTAATGATGTTTGTAGGCAAAAGCTTGAGTTTTGCCATCAAACAATAGGTACCTCAGTGTCCTCATTTATAAATTAATAATTATAGGACCTGTCTCCTAAGGCTGTTATGAAAATTAAGTGAGTTAATGCTTATAAAATGCTTAGTGGTATCTTGCACATGGTAATCACTCAAAAAATAATAACTGCTAGTAATACTTTAGAGTTAGAAAGAATAAAAACAGTCCTAGGTAACATGTATCAAGAACCAGAGCAGTATTACTGTTTACACATCCATTGCACATTATGAAGGCATGAAATTTTAGTGTGGTTTTGGTATAGCTATTGATTCTTACACTGTGCAAAAGAGAATATTGTTTTATTTGATTTTTTCGAGTTGGAGTCTCCTTCTTCTGCCCAGGCTGGAGTGCAGTGGCATGCTCACGGCCACCACAGCCTTGACTTGCTGGGCTCAGGCAATCCTTCTGCCTCAGACTTCCAGGTAGCTGGAACTACAGCTGTGCACCACCATGCCCGGCTAATTTTTTTTGAGTTGGAGTCTCACTCCATCGTCTAGGCTGGAGTGCAGTGGCAAACTCACAGCTACCCCAGCATCAACCTGCCGGGCTCCAGCGATCCTTCCACCTTCCAAGTAGCTGGAACTGTAGGCGTGAGCTACCATGCCCAGCTAATTTTTTGATTTATTGTAGAGATGAGATCTCACCATGTTGCAGCTCGGGCAATCCTCTGGCCTCAGCCTTCCAAAGTGCTAGGGTTAGCTGGGCTTGGTGGCTCAGCCTGTAATCCCAGCACTTTGGGAGGCTGAGGTGAGTAGATTGCCTGAGCTGC